ATCGGTAAGAGGACTACCAGCATCATGTGATAGTTTGGGATATGGAACATAGGCGTCGATGAGGGATTGGAGTCGTACATATTAGTCTTCACAAGAAGCTCCGTTATAAACTTACGCTGCCTTAACAACAAATGAGAATTTTTTCCCCAGCATTCAAATGACAGCTTCAACGACATCATTGGAATCCCCTGTAAAAACAAAATCGTCAACATATATCAAAACATAAACTCGCCCTTCTTCTGTGCACTGAACAAAAAGAGAGGAGTTAGCTGTTGAGCTTTTGAATCTGATACTAATCAGTGACTGTCGAAGTTGAGCGTGCCACATTTTTGGAGCTTGGCGCAGCCTGTACAATGCTTTCTTAAGCTTACACACCAATTGAGAACCATCGCTAGCAACCTTTTCAAACCCCAGTGGTTGGACCATATAAACTTCTTCGTTCAACACGTCATTGAGAAATACATTATTAACATCGACTTGGCGTAAACACCATCCATTAGTGACAGCCATTGAGAGCACAACATTACTGGTGGACGCTGAACAACAGGGCTGAAGGTATTCGAGAAATCTGGACCAGGCACTTGTGAAAAACCCCTGAACCAGCCGAGCTTTGTATCGAGACAACGTATCATCAGAGTTCCTTTTAATCCGAAAAAGCCACTTGCATCGTATGACAGATCTTCCTTCAAGAAATGAAACCAACTCCTATGTATTATTCTGTATCAATGCCTCATATTCATCTAAAACTGCCAGCTTCCAACACGGATGCTGCAAAGCCTGATGCACCGTATGTGGTTCACTTGTACTCATATCAACCATATTAGCCGTTGAACCAAGTGCCTTTGGCTTAAAAATGCCCATCTTACTTATAGTGAGTATAGGATGTCGATTAAGAGGAGGAGGCATACGCTCACAATCATTTGCAAGTTGGTCACTCACATGTACCCCTCCTGGAACAGCATACACATTCTCAGAAAAACCAATCGAACTAACAGGCGAACCTTCCCGATTAGATACATCAGAACCACGGCTGGAATGACCAGATTGAACTGGATGCTGCACAGATTGATCATCAGGTTGCCCCACACTTGGAGATGCTGCCTCGGTTGGCATCCATACAAGCCTAAGACACGTGTTGCACCTGGAACAACTTGAAGAGATAGAGATGGACGAGCACTAGCAACCTTAGCATTTTTACTATTCGTTGTTTCTGCAAATGGAAACACACGTTCGTCAAAAACAACATGACGAGAGATATATAATCGACCATCATGCCCCAGACAATAATAGCCACGATATTGCATGCTATAGCCGAGAAATACACACGGCTGAGACTGAAATGCTAACTTATGAGATTGAAAAGGCCTTGTATGTGGGTAACAACGACAGCCGAACACCTTCAAATTGATCAAGCGAAGGTGGTTTCATATAAAGGACTTCAAACGGAGACACCCCTCCAAGTACTTTGGTCGGTAAACGATTTATGAGATGAACGGCAGTTATCACAGCAAATGCCCAAAACTTCAATGGCAAGGAAGCCCTAGCTAAGAGAACAAGGGCCATTTCAAGAACATGTCGATGCTTACGCTCCACGAAACCATTCTGTTGAGAGGTGTGTGGACACGTGACGCGATGGTGAATACCCTCTCTGAGCAAAATTGGAGACAAGCTTCGATACTCACCACTCCAATCAGATTGAACAGCTTTTATGCCAACACCAAACTGCTGATGCACCATCTTTTGAAACAATAGTAATGATATCCATTCGACGCAATATGCAGCGGCCCCCAAAGATCAGAAAATATTAACTCAAATGGTTTCTCATAATGAGTCGTAGAAGCATGAAAAGGCAAACGATGGCTTTACCCATTTGACATGATGCACAAACATCTAACATCGCTTTATTTAATGACTTTGGTAAGGCAACATTACAACGTTTACAAGCTTGAAGAATTGTTTCAAATGCAGGATGACCAAGTCGATCATGCCAAAGAACATAATCTGCTTTCGAACCACGAGCTACACAAGCTTGAGGTTTGCTACCACCATTGTCTAGATTGACTTGATTGAAAGTATATAAACCATTCACCTCTCGGCCTCGTAACAAAACAGCATCGGTTTCTCTAGAAGCAGTTATGAAAGATGCTTGACCAATTTGAGAAATGGGTAAACCTTTTCCGTTACCAACAATCAACTTAACGGCATCGGAGTAATCCACTCCGTCCTCAACGTTCAAGGGATTAGAAGTGACGTGGTGAGTAGCTCCGGAATCTAAGAGAACCACTTGGCTTGATCATTTGAAACTGCTGAAACATTTCCAGCTGTCCTAGTGAACTGAACATTCTTTGAGTGAGCACAAGCACAATCATGGCTAACAAGATTAACATTGAACCGACTTGCATTTGATGCTGAATCACTGCGCACAGAACCACCATTGCTGGTAGTGGACGACACCCCTGGAAACGTTTTGTCGAATCTATACCAACAACAGTCAACAAGAAGACCTTTTTACTGCACAACTGACACTGAAAGTCTGAAACCGCACACGCCCTCTGCCACGGCCTCCTTGATTGCTTTGTGACCTGCCACCCTTCGAATCAGAGTATTGAACCGTCTCATGAGAGCCTTCCTTCGCAACCACCTGAGTAACGTTAGCACTGAGACTTAAACCTTCAAATTGATCAAACGCTTTCTTCTGGAGTTCAGCATCAAGAAGTATCGAAATAACTCTATCAAGCGTAACCGGCTCTCGAGTCACCGTTATCAACGCCACAAACGGTTTGTATTCAACAGGTAAACCACCGAGAATGGTGACTACCTTCTCTTGATCGGTCACAGGACTACCGCAGGCAGCCAAGGCGTCATAAATTTCTTTCACATGAGAAATATACGCACGCATAGTCATCTCACATTTCTTGACCACCTTCAGCCGATAATGAAGATTCATTATCGTAGTAGTAGATTTACTGGAGAAAATCTTCATGATAGCACTCCACACCTCCGCAGCCGGCTCTGCTCCGACAAGTTGAGGAAGCAGTTGAGGACTAACGTGGACAACAACCAGGACGCGAGGGCACTATCTTGAGCAACAAAGATTTAATAATCTTTGTTTTCCACAACCTCACCATCGTCACGAACCACAGTTTGCGGCGGTGGTGCAACAGACCCATAGAGTAGCTTCTCCATTTGATGACTCCTCACGGCTAAGAAAATCTGTTGTTTCCAGGGAAGGAAATTAAACTCATCAAGGATCACGCTCACTCTCTTATTTGTGAACGCCTTGTAATGAGCTACAGCCTACAGAGGAAGCACCAAACTTCATTGGAGTATCACCGAACGAATAACCACGAGCGTTTAGCAGAAACGGAAAGAAAGAGAAAAACCCAGGACTCACAGCGAATGATACCATGTTAGCTTTTGATAAAGGAAACTTCAGCATGAGAAAATTGTATTTTAAACAGTGCAACGATTACAATATACCTAGCCTTATTTATATAGCTCTCCTCACATACATACGCACCTTTATAGTAACAAGATAGACTTAAATAAAAAAATTAAATAAAAAGAAAAAAATAAGAAAAGGAGAGCCGACGACAAGATGCCGCCTAAAACAATACTTTAGAAGACAATCTAGAGAAAAGAAAATTTGGAGTTTTCAAACTAGGATCTATCCTTTTAGAGGTTCCTCATATAAGGATTTGACCTTTTAAAATAGTCAAATAAGAGTCTTAACATCTTTTAATCTTCTCAAAACATCAAATAAGGGTCTAACATTTTCAAGTTTGCTTGATAGGAATATAGTCAAACGAGGTGCCTCACCAGAAAAGATTCTAGAAAAGTTAGAATATTTGTTTCAACATATTTGAAAGTGTTAGATAATATTATTTAGAATTCTTTTAATCTACTAACAATATATTTTATAAAGATGATTACTCGAATTTAGATTTTAAAGAATATAATTTCCTTTTATTATCCGTCTCCATAAATCAAAATAAAACCTTATTTAAAATGTAAGATTTGATGTTAACAAAATTTGATTCTGCATAAACTAAGTGACGTCAACAGAAGCTGTTATCATCCATTGAGATCTTAAGTTCAAATATCGTGTATGTCAAAACATTCACAGTATAAATACCGTGTATGTCAGAAATATAAACGTTCACTATTAAAAGATTAAGAGTTTTTAAATGGATACCATCTTATATTAATATAAATTTATCGGGGGAAATTTAAGTTTAATAAAAATTGATTGCTATACTTTAAGCTCTATTAAAATCAGGGTAAACTATAAATTTAGTATTTAAACTATCAGTTTTGATCCATTTTAGTACCTAAACTTTTAATTTTTTTTCAAAACTATACCTAATTTTTTTTTTTCATTTTAGTAACCCGCTATTAAGTTTTGAAAAAAAATGAAAGTATATGTACCAAAATACGTTTAGTACCTAAATCATTAAGTTTTGAAAAAAATAAAAAATTAAGTATTAAAACAGATCAAAACTAACAATTTAGATACTAAACACGTTAAGTTTTTAATGAAAGTATATTAAAATGAAACTAAAAGTAAATTTTAGGTATGATTTTAAAAAAAATATTTAGATACTAAAATGAATCAAAATTGATAGTATAGGTATTAAATGCAAAATTTACCCTAAAAATTATCACAAATCCTGGACAATGGTCGTGATAATATCCATAACTCCCTCGTGATAATATCCATAACTCCCCCATCCCTGGTATGGAAGGAAACTCAAAATGGTCTTTTCGTCCCACACTCTCTCTCCAATCATCCAACTCTATTCATTACTCCATTTCCAGGTTCTACTGAGGAAGGTCTTCTTCCCCTCATCAAATCCGTCAAATGTAACGGTGCCGGTTGCCTGTTTAGTCCATTCACCGTCACCAAAAGCCACCCAGAGTGCCCAAGACAGGAACGTTTTACGTTACTCTTAAACAAAGCGCCTAAAACATTAAATACTATCTATTTAATAATTGCTCCACGCTCTGCATTGAAGTTCACAAGGACACACCCATATGATTTGAGGGCTGAGTTCTTATTTCCGTATTCCTTGAAAAAAAACACGTTTTAGAAGTGGATATTGAAGGGTTTTTGAAGATATGGCAGAAGATCGGATTGAAGAGGGTAGCAGCAGCGTGAGGCTGAGGGGTAGAACTTACAGTGGTGGTGGGGTGGGTGAGTCGAGATGGGTGGATGGTAGTGAAGTTGACTCAGAGTCACCTCCATGGTCATTGCTTGATGAAAATGACGACAAAGAAGGGTATGGATCTTTGAGGAGGAGACTGGTTAAGAAGCCCAAGAGAGTTGATTCCCTTGATGTTGAAGCCATGGCGATTGCCGGTGCTCATGGTCACCAAACTAAGGTTAATTAATTTCATTATTGCTTATAACGTCTTTTGTTTCTTTTGCTCTTCAAAGTATGTGGTTTTCATCAGTGCTTAGGATATTGAGAAATTGGTACAAGAGTTCATGCTTGGAATGACTATTTTTTTTTTCAATTTCTTATATTTACGCTTTAAGTTGAAAACTTGAAATCGCTAATGAAGTTTTGCATCTAACAAAGAAAATGAACGACTTTAGCAAGCGTTGTGATTGAACTTGAAGGGTCTTCTCTGTTTTTGTTTATTCATTTGACATGTACTTTTACCATTGAAAGTGAACCTTGTCTTCAATAACTCAAAAGGATTGTTTTATCAGTTTTTCAAAGTAACTTATTTCCAACAATCTTAACTATACCCTCTTACTAAAATGTGTTACTTTAATTAATCAGGAGCTTTCCATTTGGCGCACTCTTGCATTGGCATTTCAAACACTAGGGGTTGTGTACGGTGACATGGGAACAAGTCCTTTATACGTTTTCAGTGATGTCTTCAGCAAAGTAAAAATAGAATCAGAGGTGGATATCTTGGGGGCTTTATCACTTGTGATGTACACAATAGCTTTGATCCCCTTGGCAAAATATGTGTTTGTAGTGCTTAAAGCCAATGATAATGGGGAGGGTAAGGGCTTTCAGTAGAAATACTCTTAGTCTCCTTACTTTTTACTGGATATTTTGAAGATGATTTACAAGTTAACATATAAATTAATGCGATTGTAGGGGGAACGTTTGCACTGTACTCACTAATTTGCAGATATGCGAAGGTCAACATGCTGCCGAATCGTCAGCCAGCAGATGAACAGATATCAAGTTTTAAGCTCAAACTGCCTACTCCGGAGTTAGAAAGGGCTTTAAGCATAAAAGAGACTTTGGAAAGGAGATCATCCTTGAAGACCCTCCTATTGCTATTGGTTTTGATGGGAACTTCCTTGGTCATAGGAGATGGTATTCTGACCCCGGCAATATCTGGTAGAGAGATTCATACATATTATCTTGCGTCGAAGTTAACAAATTCAGGATTTAAGCAAATACTATTCCAATTTCTGTCTACGTTTTTTTATGAATAGACGAATGGGATTCGATTCTTTGCACCTGAATATTGGAATAATTTTGTGTTGCAGTTATGTCTGCTGTAAGTGGTCTTCAGGGTGCCATTGAAGGCTTTGATACAAGTGGGTACTTTTCATTAGCTTTTGTTTCATATAAAATATTTAGAGTTCATTAACTGCCATCTTCATATAGCAGCCATCATATGATTCCATTGTTTCTTATCTTCCTTATTGTACTCATGTGGATGGGTTGGGGGAAGTGGAGGAGCCTCGAGTTTGATTACTAAATTGCTGTTCCACCGAGCTGGCTGAATATGTAGTATCATATTCATTTAACTAATAAATAAAGATTCAAGAATTAACGAGTAAACTAATTTGGTTTTTCATCATGAACTGTTATTATTTTTTCTTCATTTATCTATTTGTTCACAGCTCTGGTGGTGGTTGTTTCGATTGTAATCCTGGTGGCATTGTTCAGCATACAGCAGTTTGGAACCAGCAAAGTTGGTTTCATGTTTGCTCCTGCACTTGCTTTGTGGTTCTTCTCTCTGGGTTCAATAGGAATTTACAATCTAGTGAAGTATGATACTGCAGTCATCAGGGCATTCAATCCAGCTTATATCTATTTTTTCTTCAAGAAGAACAGAAAAGATGCATGGTCCGCCCTTGGAGGTTGTGTCCTGTGCATTACAGGTGCTGTGGCTTTTAAATAGCAGACCTTTAGCATTGAAGCAATGTTTACTGTCATAACCGGCCTTGTGATGTTACAAATAACCGAACGCTGAAATTCTCAAATGCCCTCGATCACACGTCGAGTCTGGATGAAATATGTTGCTACCACTATCAAACATTTTATATTTATGATGCCATAGTGGGATGCTAAAGATGGACATGCTGGAGTACATATCATAATGCAGGGAACCATTGCATGAAGTCATTAAAATTTGTCACTTGATATGAATATACTTTTATGACCTGCAAAAATATAGCTTAATACTTCTCATTAAAAAATTTCACTACAGGAGCTGAAGCAATGTTTGCTGATTTAGGGCATTTCTCTGTGCAATCCATACAGGTTGGCCCTTCCATTAATTCATCTTAAATAATTACTCAAATAAAGAACCTTGGCTTTTTCATTAGCTACATGCTTTTTATAATTATTTTGTATGTTTCCCTCCTCAGATTGCCTTCACCTTTGTAGTGTTTCCCTGTCTTCTCTTTGCATACATGGGCCAGGCCGCGTATCTAATGAAATACCCTGATTCTTCGGGACGAATTTTCTATGATTCTGTTCCAGGTTACAGATGCTGGCATGCTGCTCAATCTTCATCCATTTTTGTTTTTATGATGTTGCTAGTTTTGATACGTTACATTTTGCTTCGTATGAACAAACAGATAACCTTTTCTGGCCAATGCTTGTGGTAGCTACCATTGCTGCCATGATTGCCAGCCAAGCAATGATATCTGCTACATTTTCATGCGTCAAGCAGGCTATGGCTCTCGGTTGTTTCCCTAGACTGAAGATAATTCACACCTCGAGGAAACTGATGGGCCAAATTTACATCCCTGTGATAAATTGGTTTTTGATGATCATGTGTGTAGTTGTTGTTTCCATCTTTCGCAGCACTACTGATATTGCCAATGCATATGGTTAGCACTACCGATATTGGACTTTCCACCGAAAATCATAATAGTTTATGAACAAGGAGGAGCTGATAAAGATAGCAGATTCTACTCTGATCTTTCGATGATCAATTCTCTGATGACCATCTAAATTGTTTTTGCAGGCATAGCTGAAGTTGGTGTTATGTTGGTCACGACGACATTGGTGACACTCGTAATGCTTCTAATATGGCAGACCAATTTGTTTATCGCTTTGTGCTTTCCGTTCATATTCGGATCAATAGAGCTTATCTATCTCTCCGCTGTTCTTTCTAAAGTCTTGGAGGGAGGTTGGCTTCCACTTGTTTTTGCTACTTTCTTTCTCACGGTCATGTACATTTGGAACTACGGCAGTGTGTTGAAGTACCAGAGTGAGGTCAGAGAGAAAATATCTATGGACTTCATGCATGAACTTGGCTCAACACTTGGGAGTGTAAGAACTCCGGGGATTGGTTTGTTGTATAATGAGCTTGTCCAGGGTATCCCCTCGATATTCGGGCGGTTTCTACTTAGCCTACCAGCCATCCATTCGACAATCGTGTTTGTTTGCATCAAATACGTCCCAGTTCCCGTGGTCCCTCAGGATGAGAGATTCCTTTTCCGAAGAGTTTGCCCGAAGGACTACCATATGTTCCGGTGTATTGCTAGATACGGTTACAAAGATATCCGAAAGGAGGATCATCATGCGTTCGAACAACTTTTGGCTCAAAGCCTCGAGAATTTCTTGCGGAAAGAAGCTCAAGATGTTGCCTTGGAGTGCGGTTTGCAAGAAATGGACCTTGATAGTGTTTCAGTGAGCTCAAGGGATTACGGAACCAGGGGTGTTGTCGATAATGAGGAGCTTAGAATCCCATTGATGCAGGACACGAGATCAGAAGCAGCAGAAACATCTAACCAAGAAGAAGCTTCAGTCTCATTGCCTGCTAGTGTCATGTCTTCAGATATAGACCCGAGTTTAGAATACGAACTGTCTGCACTGCAAGAGGCGATCGATTCCGGATTTACATATTTTCTGGCACATGGAGATGTGAGAGCGAAAAAGAAGTCATTTTTCCTTAAGAAGCTCGTCATAAACTACTTGTACGCATTCCTAAGGAGAAACTGTCGAGCGGGAGCCGCAAATATGAGCGTACCTCACATGAATATCCTGCAAGTAGGTATGACATACATGGTCTGATGATTTTGCCATCCCATCAAAAAGCAGCCATTTTTGACGGATGATTCAGCGGAGGCCATTTCCATGTCAAATATTGCTCATCAACTCTCAACAAGTTTTTGAGTATTAAGCCAAGAATTATAGAATATTTGTACATCAAGATTGGCTCAGTGAAAAGAATTATATTAAACCTGTTCGTATTGTGTGTAGATAGGGATGCAAATGAGGCATTTGTTATCCCATTTTAGCTTGAATTTGTTAAACATCCAACAAGAATCTTAATCAACGCTGCAATGATATAGCAGACAAGAGTTGGTTGTTGTTTTAAGTAATAATTTATGATTCCCACCCCCCTTTCTTATTCATTGTCACAGCGAGTCCCCTCTGGTTCTTTTACTTAATTGTTAATTATTATGATTGCCTTTTCTTCCTTTTCTTGTCTCTTACCCCTTTCCCTTTCCTCTTCCTCTACCGTCTACACCCCCACAGTACTAAAAAAAGCCAAGAAAAAGAACCAACCTTTTCCATTGTTATTAAAAGAAAGAAAAATAAAACCCCATTGAAAAACACACTGTTTTACTCAACCTCTGGAAAAAACCCAGATTCCATATAGGGTTTTGTATTTCTTCTCAATATGTAAAGCTGAATATTTCTTCATATCTAAGAGGCTCTTTGCTGTGTCTTTTTTTTCCTGCTTGAGTGAAAGAGGCAGTGGGTAAGAGTGTGTTGATTTTGGGTATTGTACTTTTGCTTCTTCTTCTTCTTGGAGGTGTCACTTCAGCTCCCACAACTTCTTCACCGGCAAGTAAGCTTCCAAACGCATTGATTTTGATCCGCTTCTAGATTTAAGCTAAATCCTTGCTTTAATGGCAAATGAGTTCTGTTTTTGTTCTTGCAGAGATCGTTAGTGGGTTCTTCTCTAATGCTTTGTCTCCTTCTATGAAGTGGTTATGGTCACTCAAAGCTACCACTAAAACAGGTTAAGATCTCAGACTAATAGAATTCAGAATTGAAGACCCACATTTCCCTTTTTTTGTTTCTTTTGACTTGGAGATTAGCATCTGATGTAGTGGTATCCATGGGATTTATGCATGTATAGCAATCACTGGCCGTCTGATGATGAAGTTCGAGGGTGGATATACTGTGAAGACTGTGTTTGATGGAAGTAAGCTTGGAATTGAGCCTCACACTGTTGAGAATTTGCCCACTGGGGAGCTGCTGATTTTGGACTCTGCTAATAGCAACCTTTATCGGATGTCCAGTTCTTTATCTCTTTGTAAGTGGGGTTTCTTCTTTCTTATAGTATTATTATTCAAATGGTTGACTTTGTTAATTTTTGTTGCATTTGCCTCTAATAATTCATAGTGTTTGCCTTGTTTCTATAATGCTTTTTTTTCTAGTGTGATCTTTGCTTCTTTTTTTTTGTATAATCTTTGCTGTAAACCAAGAATGTTTTGTGCCTATCATAGACATTTGGTGAGTTAAATGGAGTGTTAATTTATTGTGCTCCTCGGTTTTATATAATCGTGTTAAGATTGATTACATGTACAGTTATGGTATTCATCAATTCAATTCTGCAGTCCCGCTATCATCTTGATTTGTCCATGGACAAGTTTTTTCTTGTAACTATTTCATTTAAATTATGGGAGAAATGCAGATAGTAGACCTAGGCTGGTTGCTGGATCCCCTAAGGATATCCCGGACATGTAGATGGCAAGCTGAGAGAGACAAGGATGAACCATCCTAAAGGGCTAGCAGTAGAAGACAGAGGCAACATTTATGTTGCAGACACTATGAATATGGCAATCAGGAAGATAAGTGATTCAGGTAAGCAACGTAGTTACTTAGTTTCCCAAAAGAGGAATACCGATCACTTGTATTTCCCGAAAAAGGAATCCCGATCTCTTGTATTTTCTTTGCATCTTATCTCTGTGCTGCTACTATCCTGCATGCTAAACATTTGCCATCATTTTTTTTCTGAAGTATTTATAGGATCACTCTTTGGCAAGCATAGAGTTTATCATCATTTAAATTTTTGCAATGTCTTAAAATGCTCGAAGAATTGCTAATACAAGTCAAATCTTCGTCAGGTATTACGACAATTGCTGGTGGGAAATTAAACCGGGGAGGGGGACATGTAGATGGACCAAGTGAATATGCGAAGTTTTCTAATGATTTCAATGTAGTCTATGTCGGAAGCAGTTGGTCTCTTCTTGTGATAGATAGAGGAAACAGAGCAATTAGAGAGCTTCAACTGCATTTTGACGACTGTGCCTATCAGTACGGAAGTGGTTTTCCTCTTTGTAAACTAATCCACCTAAATTTGATCTTCATTAGTTTCTGATATTTGGTGGCTTACACTATAATATTTTGTCATTTCAGGAACTGCTGTTCTTGTCGCAGCTGGCTTCTTCGGTTACATGCTAGCTTTGCTGCAACATAGAGTGAGAACCATTGTATCAACCCAGAATGAAAGTATTCAGTGTTATTATTTTGACGTATGCTTTGTCCGAGTATTGTATGTAAAAATATCATCTCCGAAAGTGTTCCTCAATCATAAGTCGTGTGATCGACCAAAACTTGAAATATTAGCATTGATCTAGTCAAGGTTCCAAAATCTTATAAAATGGTTTTTTTTTTTTGAAACATCAGGATTCAGTTAAAGTAAATGCTCTGCTGTATCGAGTCCATGTCAGAACCCCTCGAAATCAGTCAGGCTACCTTTAATTCCAACCGGAGATGAGCAAGAGAAGCAAGAAGGCTTCCTTGGATCCCTTGGGAGGCATTTTGTCAACGGCGGTGTTTCTGCTTTAGATATTTTCAAAGGCATTTTCCCCGATTTCAGAAAGGAATCAATAAGCTATCAATATCAGAGCCAGCACCAGCAACAATTGAAGCACACACTGCTTTGGCCTGCACAAGAGAGTTTTGTGATACCACATGAAGATGAACCCCATCAATCGATGCCCGAACCCCTACTCCACGAAAAACATACTCTTTCATGTCCAAAGATGCCGACAAAATCCATCAGTTGCGCCAAAGCCGGGCCTTTTACAGAGGATGGGATGTTGATATGCAACAGCTGCAGAAACCACAACATCATCACCATCACCATCGCCATCAAGCATCCACCCCACATACCTACTATCAGCAAAACAATGAGAAAACGAATGAGATCGTTTTCGGGGCAGTTCAAGATAAAGCTGGGAAGCGAGAAGCTGTGGTCATAAGGCCGATTGATTATGATCATCACAATTTCCGGTTCCGGCCAAATTTGGGTTACGAACATGACTATTAAATTACGAGAGATTTTGGAGTTCCCTTCCCATTGGAGCAGCTTGGTGTCTACTTTGGTTTGCACTCTCAGCTGACCTAAATTTTGTAAGGCTATTATTTCATTAAACTCTCTTTTCAGCTTGGTGTCGAGAATTAAAATGTTTGAAAAAAAAAACTGAATTGGTGTCAAAGTGACTAACCAAAGTACGTGTACACCCTTAAATGCATGTAGATCCACCGTTGGTTTAAGTGTTGGTATCATTAGGTCTTAGGCTTAGATGTAGAGCTGACATTGTTGATTTTAGAATTAATAACGAATTTTGAGATCTATAGAACTTTTAAATATAAAAGTTTAAATGTATAAATATGAATATTAAAATTATTATTATCTTAATTAAAAATTATCATTGTTTTTGCTAATGTTTAAAATTAATTTAATATTAATTGATTTAATTGCATTATCTGTCTTCGAACTATAACCTTCATTTTGAATTGGCCCTTAAAATTTTAAATATTTTAATTTGATCCCTAAATTATGAATCTAATTCTAAATTAATCCTTAAACTTTTTGTATATTGTTTTATCTAGGGGTGTTCAAATAACCGAATTAATTCGTTTAACCGACCGAACCGAATTAGTTCGGTTAATTCGGTTCGGTTACCGAATTAGTTCGGTCGGTTAACGGTTAAGAAAATTTTTAGAATTCGGTTAACGGTTAATTTGGTTCGAATTCGGTTAATTAACCGAAATTAAATTTTAAATATTAAATATATTATATATAACATATGAGCTCAACCCAAATCATTAAAAACCCAATTAATATTTTAAGATCCAATAACTTTTAAACTTAAATCAATATTAATTAATTAAAAAATTATATAAATTGTTTTTATAATTATATATTATTTAAAATTATGGCTAAACCAAACCATTTAAAACCCAATTAATAATTTAAGATCCAATAACTTTTAAACTTAAATCAATATTAATTAATTAAAAATTTTATCTAAAATTTTTATTTTATAATTATTTAATATTTAAATTAATTATAAACTTTTTTGAATTAAAAATATTTAATTTTATATAAATTAGAAAATTTTAAAAAAAATTCGGTTAATTCGAAATTAACCGAATTAACCGAAATTTATTTGGTTCGGTTAATATGTTTGAAAAAAAATTCGGTTCGGTTAACGGTTAAAGAAAAAAAAAGTTTGGTTAATTCGGTTATGGTTAATTCGGTTCGGTCGGCCACCGTTTTAACCGAATGAACACCCCTAGTTTTATCCCTAAACTATGACCCTCTCTCTAAATTGGTCCCCAAACTTTTGAATATACCAAATATGTAATTAATTTCAACCATAGTTTAACCTAAATTTTATTTTCAAACTCATAATAATATATCTTGACCTAACGATTTGATTAACAATGGATGTGATTAGTACATATGAATAGTTTGGGAAGAAATTGTAATATTTAAAAAGTTTGGGGACCAATTTAGAATGAAGGTTATAGTTTGAGGATGAAATTAAAATGTCCAAAAGTTTGAGGACTAATTTAGAATGATAATTATAGTTTAGGGATACAATTGGAATATTTAAAAGTTTATGGATCAATTTAAAATGAGAGTTATACTTTGAGGTCATGTAATGCAATTAACTATTAATTTGATTGATGCTAAACTAGAAAATGATCACATGCGGCAACATTAATATACGGTTAAAAAATCTTACCGATTTTGTTATTTTTTCTACCGGTTTTGTTATTGTTGGGCACTTTACCAAAAATGTTAAAAAATATTGATGTTTTATATATAAATAATAATGTTTTAGGTAAATTTTTTACCTATTTTACTATTTAAATAATAATAAAATCGGTAAATTTTTTTAGGTATATGTGTCACAATATAACTTCCCTGTTAAACTAAATGATTTAGTTAACAATATTCTTTAGGGTTTTGAACACTGCAACT